TGGGGGCTTGATTCAAGCCATAAAGACCTCTGCAAAGAGGGAGCAAAAAATACAGTTCTTGCCAGTGTTTTGTGAGCCCTCACATTCCCAAAAGTCATGTGCCCCGCCATAGCCCAGGTTAACCCTAGGTACTGCAAAGTCAAATGCTCTCTCACAGTGCAGCCTAACCTTGATACCCTCAAAGTCAGAGAGATCAGGTGCTAAAAAGACAGCAGAGCTCAGGCCTGAGAAGGACTTCCAACCCTTGCAGCTCCGTGAGGAAAACATTACTCTCCAGAAAAGGGAGTTAGCCGTTTTCCTGTGTTCCTTGAGTTACCTCAGAATCATCAGTCTCTGTCCCTTTGGGTTGCTAGACCTGTCAAAGGACAAAATTACAACAAATATAGTGTAAGGATCTTAGTTGTCTTTATTGTGACTCTAGCATCAGGCCATGCTTCATTCCAAAGTGGAGAGTAAAAAGTGTTCTTGTTACTTTTTTTTTTAAGACAGTCTCGCTTTATCACCGGGGCTAGAGTGCAGTGGCCCAATCTTGGCTCACTGCAACCTCCCGAGTTTAAGCGATTCTCCTGTCTTAGCCTCCCGAGTAGCTGGGATTACAGGTGTGTGCCACCATGCCCGACTGATTTTTGTGTTTTTAGTAGAGATGGGGTTTCACCATGTTCGTCAGGCCGGTCTCTTAACTCCTGACCTCAAGTTATCCGCCTGCCTCAGCCTCCCAAAGTGCTGAGATTACAGGCGTGAGCCACCATGCCCAACCCTTGTTGTTTTTTATATTTATTTTATAGTCAATCACCTTACCATTATTGTCTACAGTGATTTTTCAGTTGACTCTTAATTTCTTGAAAACTTGCATCTGATCTTTCCAATTTTCATACTTCTTTGACTTGTCTAATTATATTATGGTACTTCCTCAAAAATTTTAATAGTTTTGATAGAGAAGAACAAGAATGGCCACAGACATACATGGGAATACTTTTAATGTTTTTTCATTAATGGTGCCTTTTGCTTGAGATACCATTTTTTTAGTTATGTTAAGGAACTAGTTATTTACTTTGGCTTAAAAAAAATTTTTTAGAAGTGAATGTAGGATTCTGTTACATTTGATTTCAACATCTTACAGAGATTGTCATGTGGTTTTTCTTCCTTGACCTCTTAGTTGGTAAGTTACTGTCTTTGAAAAGACTCCCCTTGGTTGTGGCGTTGTAATATAGTCGTAATGTGCTGCTGGGGATTCCTTTTGCTAATACTAATGTTTTCTGTGTAGATCTCATAAGTGGAGATTGGCCTATAGGTTTGTGTGTACGTATGATATCCTTGACAGATTTTTTTTATATATATAAACATGATTCTGACTTCATAAAAAGTTTAGAAGTTTTCTTTTCTTTTCTTTTCTTTTTTCTCTTTTTGGAGATGGGAGTTTTGCTCTGTCGCCCAGGCTGGAGTGCAGTGGTGTGATCTTGGCTCACAGCAACTTCTGCCTCCCAGGTTCAAGCAATTCTGTTGCCTCAGCCTCCTAAGTAACTGGGATTACAGGCATGCACAACCACTCCCAGCTAATTTTGTATTTTTAGTAGAAATAGGGTTTCACCATGTTGGTCAGGCTGGTCTCAAACTTCTGACCTCAGGTGATCCACCTGCCTCACCTCCCAAAGTGCTGGGGTTATAGGCATGAGCCAGCTGTGCCTGGCCCAAAGTTTTCTTTTCTCTTTTTTTTTGAGACAGAGTCTCACACTATTTCCTGGGCTGGAGTACAGTGGCATAATCTCGGCTCACTGCAACCTCCGCCTCCCGGGTTCAGGCGATTCTCCTGCCTCAGCCTCCTGAGTAGCTGAGATTACAGGCGCCCATCACCACAGCTGGCTTATTTTTTGTCTTTTTTAGTAGAGACGGGGTTCTACTATGTTGGCCAGGCTGGTCTTGAACTCCTGACCCTGTGATCCGCCCACGTCGGCCTCCCAAAGTGCTGGGATTATAGGCGTGAGCCACTGCACCTGGCCCAGAAGTTTTGTTTATTTCTTTGAGGGTTGTTTTTTGTTTGTTTGTTAGAGTCTTCAGAACCAGTGTATTCTTTGAGGTTTTGAATATATTCTATAGAATTAAACAAAACAGACGGCTGTCCTACTTCCTCTTCATCTGTGACTCCTTACGCTTTATCCCTTTTTTAGTTCAAATGGTTATTTGAACTAACCATTATGTGTCCCCCTCCTTCCCTTCCCTCCCTTCTTTTCCTTCCTCTTCCTGTACCAAAGAAACAGCGTCTTCTCTTCTACAACTCCAGTTACATGTTTTGAAGACCTTTTTGTTCTTGACGTGGTCTCTTATGTAATTGTCCATTTTGTCTATGCCTTACTATGGCTATTCTGACCTGGCTTTTAATGCACTAATTTCTCTCTTCAACTATATTTACTTAAAATACTATATATCCATCCAACCTTAGTTATTGTATTTTTCCATTCTGGAATTTGCGTTTGATTCTTCTACTTCTTGATTACAGTTCTCAATCTAGTCCTTTATTTCCCTAAACATGCTGTTATTTTAGAATTCATGTTGATAACTTCACTGTGTGAAATCCCTGTATATTTGTTTCTGTTGTCTGTTACTTCTCTTGTTTTGATTTTCTATTGCGCATTAAGTTCTTGTATGCCTAGTTATTTTTGATTGAGTGTAAGTCATTGCATACGAAAATTTTGGGATTCTATATGATGTTATGTTTCTCTAAAGAGGACCTTAATTGGTTTCTTGAAGAAGAGTAAGAGCACCAGCACCTCACATTGAGGGAGTTAAACTCTCCACACTGGGATTCAGTCCCTGGGAGGTCCAGAGTATTTCCAACTTGCCCCTTTACTTCAGTGGCATAGTCTTCAGGGACCCACCCTAAAGCCTGAGATGAACCATCTCCTTTCTTCTAGGGACTTCCCAGAGGAACTGTTGTTACCAGTTTAGCATGTATCCTTCCAGGTCTTTTCTTTGAATTTGTATGTATCGATGTGTATATACATGTGTGTACATACACATACTTTTAGAAATGATTTTGTTTGTGTCTTATTGACGTATTTTAAGTAAATGGAATCATTCTGTGTATGATTTTGCAGCTTGCTTTTCTTCACTTAATGGCATTTCTTAGCGAAGCTTTCCATTTCAGTACAGATTGAGCTACCTCTTTTTTGGTAGGGGTCAGTTGTAGAGTATTTTGTAGCACAAATAAGTAATAGTTTATTTAACCGTTCACTCAGGGACAAACTTCAGAATGTCTCTAGGCTTTTTTCTGTTTATGCTGAATATTCTTGTATATGCCCTTTTTAGATAGATAAGGGTTTATAGAACATTATGAAAAAATGGTGACAGATACACATTTTTTATTTATATTTATATATTTGTGTATTTATTTATTTATTTATTTCAGACGGAGTCTCGCTCTGTCTCCAGGCTGGAGTGCTGTGGCACCATCTCGGTTCACTGCAACCTCTGACTCCCTGGTTCAAGCAGTTCTACTATGTCAGCCTCCCGATTAGCTGGGATTACAGGCATGCACCACTGCGCCCAGCTGATGTTTGTATTTTTAGTAGAGATGGGATTTCACCACGTTGGCCAGAATGGTCTCGATCTCCTGACCTTGCAATCCACACACCTCGGCCTCCCTAAATGCTGGGATTACAGGTGTGAGCCACCGCACCTGGGCTACGTTTTTTATTTTAATAAATAGTGCCAAATTTCTCTCCTAAATTCACCAGCAGTAAATGATAGTATAAGAATTTTCACACATGGCCAAGCATGGTGCCCCACGCCTGTAATCCCAGCACTTTGGGAGGCTAAGGTGGGCCAATCATCCGAGGTCAGGAGTTCAAGACCAGCCTGGCAATGGCGAAACCCTGTCTCTACCAAAAATACAAAGATTAGCTGGGTTTGGAGGTGTGTGCCTATAATCCCAGCTACTCGGGAGATTGAGGCAGGAGAATCGCTTGAACCTGGGAGGCGGAAGTTGGAGTGAGCTGAGATCACGCCATTGCACTCCAACCTGGGTGACAGAGCGAGATTGTCTCAAAAAAAAAGAAAAAAAAGAATTTTCACCATCCTCACCAATGCTTGGTATTATCTGATTTAAAAGTTTGCCAGTTTTACAGGGAAAAAAATACTGTCTTGTTTTAATTTTTCATTTTGCTGGTTGCTAATGAGATTTAGATTGTTTTTATATGTTTTTTGAACATTTCTTATTCTTCTGATGTGTTAGCATTCTTTCATTGTTTTCTCTGCTGTGGAGTTATTTTTGTTTTAGTGGTCTCAGATTAAATTATAATTCAGGGCTGGGTTCAGTGGCTCATGCCTGTAATCCCAGCACTTTGGGAGGCTGAGGGAGGCAGATCACTTGAGGCCAGGAGTTTGAGACCAGCGTGGCCAACATGGCGAAACCCCATCTCTACTAAAAATATAAAAATTCGCTGGACATGATGGCATATGCTTGTAATCCCAGCTACTCGGAAGGTTAAGGCACAAGAGTTGCCTGAGCCTGGGCGGCAGAGGTTGCAGTGAGCTGAGATCGCACCGTTGCACTCCAGCCTGGGTAAAAGAGGAAAACTCTGTCTCAAAAGTAAAAATAAGTTATAATTCAAACTCTATCTCAAGCTTTAATCTATGAATGACTACTTTGATTCTTACAGATACTACATAGTGTAATCAAATTTCAATGTTAAGATAAATATAAATATAGGTATTGTTAAGGGGGAGGGTGTTTTTGTTTCTTTCCTATCCTATCTCGGAAGCTCAATATAAGTACATAAGGAGGGATAGGCATAGGAAAGAAATTGAATTATTAAAATTTCATTTTTTCTTAGACAAATAAACCTCAGAGATCACGACCCAATCTCATCAAACCAGCTGCCCAGTGGCAAGATCTGAAAAGGTTGGGAGAAGAAAGCCCTAAAAAGTCTAGAGCAGCATTTGAATCAGATAAGAGCAGCTATTTTTCAGTGTGTAACAACCCATTGTTTGATTCTGGGGCACAGGATGATTCTGAGGATGACTACGGTGAATTTCTGGATCTTGGGCCTCCTGGAATCTCTGAATTCACTAAGCCAAGTGGCCAAATAGAAAAAGAACCCAAGCCTGGACCGAGTCGTAACGAAGCAGCAAATGACATTGTCAACCCCAGATCAGAGCAGAAAGTCATCATCTTGGAAGAAAGTAGCCTTCTTTACACAGAAAGCGATCCTTTAGAAACTCAGAACCAGTCATCCGAAGACTCAGAGACAGAGCTGTTATCAAATCCAGGAGAGTCAGCTGCTCTAGCAGATGATCAGGCCATCGAAGAAGACTGCTGGTTAGATCATCCTTACTTCCAGTCTCTGAACCAACAGCCCCGTGAAATAACAAACCAAGTTGTTCCTCAGGAACGGCAGCCTGAAGCAGAACTGGGCCGCTTGTTGTTTCAGCATGAATTCCCGGGGCCAGCTTTTCCAAGGCCAGAACCCCAGCAAGGTGGGATTTCAGGCCCCTCTTCTCCTCAGCCTGCCCATCCTCTAGGAGAGTTTGAAGACCAACAGTTAGCAATTGATGATGAAGAGCCAGGTCCAGCCTTTCCAATGCAAGAATCTGAAGAGCCCAATTTGGAAAACATTTGGGGGCAAGAAGCTGCAGAGGTAGATCAAGAACTTGTTGAACTATTAGTGAAAGAAACGGTAAGTTTTATCAAGTAAATGCAGACACTACATATACTGAGTTTCTTTCTTTTTTTTAATTGCAAAAAAAGGTTGTATGCGTGGACTTTATTTTTCTAAGAAGTACATATCTAGATATACAGAAAAGAGACACTCTGAAGAAGTGAAAATGGAATTGGGGTTCCTTTACTATACTTAACCCTTCAGGAAGCTCTCTGGGATTCTAACTGCATATCATGGTGGCCTGGTGCTGTCATACCTGCAGTTCCTCGTTTTTTTCAAATTCCTTGAGTTCACTCCAAATGGAAACCCTTAAAGCAGGTTTATTGAATTACCTAGACCTATGCTGTCCAATATGGCACTTACTAGCTCCTTGTGGCAGTTTACATTTAAATGTCTTACAGTTAAATAAAATTTTCCCGTGGCACCAGTCACATCTTAGCCTTAGTAGCCACATGAGGCTAACAGCTTACCTCATCATCAAGCATAGAGGACAATGTTTCTGTCATCCTACAAAGCTCTATTAGTGGTGATATTAAGAGTAATATAAGAGCCGGGCATGGTGACTCACGCCTGTAATCCCAGCGCTTCAGGAGGCCAAGGCGGGTGGATCACAAGGTCAGGAGATCAAGACCGTCCTGACTAACACAGTGAAACCCTGTCTCAACTGAAAAAACAAAAAATTAGCCTGGTGTGGTGGCATGCGCCTGTAGTCCCAGCAACCTCCGCCTCCTGGGTTCAAGCGATTCTCCTGCCTCAGCCTCCTGAGTAGCTGGGATTACAGGTGCATACCACCACGCCTGGCTAATTTTTGTGTTTTTTTTAAGTAGAGACGGGGTTTCACCATGTTGGCCAGGCTGGTTTCGAACTCCTGACCTCAGGTGATCCGCCTGCCTCGGCCTCCCAAAGTGCTTCGATTATAGGCATGAGCCACCGCGCCCAGCCACCCAGGTGTTTTTATCTAGCCACGAGGTTGTGAGCTGCTTGAGGGCTGGCATGAGATTGTAACTTATTTGTGTTTTGATTCCCTTTGTCTAGACAGAGATGCTCAATATTTGTTGAAACAATGAAGAATGGATCTGTAAAATGGGGACAGAGAATGAGATCTCTCAAGACCTTTCTAGACCTAATCTTCTATGTAGACAGATGAATCTGAGAACTAGTGTTGACTTTGAAGACACACACAGACCTGCTTCAAAGCCCTTTTCTAGTCTTTAGTCATTTTATTACACTTTTGCCATCCGTCTTGTATTGGCATTTGAAACCATTCTAGTGAATGAAATATAAATTATGTTCTTGTTTGTTTCTAGGAAGCAAGATTTCCAGATGTAGCAAATGGGTTTATTGAGGAAATAATTCATTTGAAGAATTATTATGATCTGAATGTGTAAGTATAATACCATGCTTTTTTTGTGGTAGTGGTTGTGGTAAAATATATATAATATAAAATTTACCATTTTGATCATTTTTAAATATACAATTTGGTGGTGTTAAGTAAATTAACGTTATTATGCAACTATCACTACCATCCATCTCCAGAACTCTTTCTTCTTCTCAAAATGAAACACTGTCCCCATTAAACACTCACTCCGCATCCCCCTCCCAAGCCAGTGGCACCCACCATCCTACTTTCTTTCTATATGGATTTGACTGCTATCAGGGCTTCATGTATTTATTCTTTTCTGACTGGCTTATTTCACTTGGCATGTCTTTTTTAATGACCTTGTTCATTCTGACGTTAGTGATATACAGACTGTTTTCTGGATTTTATGGAATACTGCATGGTTACAGAATTATGATGCTGAGTTGTTTCTGAGATTGATACTACCTATGTTTTAGTCAAGATGTTAAGACATTTTCTTCCCTACAATTGTAACAAAGTGTTCTGCAACCGCTCTGGAGAAATACATAGAAGCATTTCTTAATTTTCATTATAAAAGGGATAAATATAGACCAGACACATAGCTCACACCTTTAATCCTGGCACTTTGGGAGGCTGAGGAAGAGGATTACTTGAGTCCAGGAATTCAAGGCTTCAGGGAGCTATGATACGCTCCTACACTGCAGCCTGAGAGGCAGAGTGAGATCTTGTCTCTGTTTAAAAAAAATTTTTTTTAAAGTCTGAAATATGCTTTTTAAAAATACAAGTTTTCCTGAAGAATATAAAATGAAAAATATACTGTTTCCCCTCCTTCTGATCTGCAGAAGTGAAATAGTCGTAATTTGTTGTTGTTGTTGTTGTTGTTGTTGTTGACGGAATCTTGTTCTGTTGCCCAGGCTGGAGTGCAGTAGTGTGATCTTGGCTCACTGCGATCTTCACTTCCCGGGTTCAAGCAATTCTCCTGCCTCAGTCTCCTGAGTAGCTGGCATTACAGGCGTGCTCCACCGCACCCAGCTAATTTTTGTATTTTTAGTAGAGACAGGGTTTTACCATGTTGGTCAGGCTAGTCTTGAACCCCTGACCTCGTGATCCACTTACCTTGGCCTCCCAAAGTGCTGGGATTACAGCCGTGAGCCACTGTGCCCAGCCTGGTGGTAAACTTAAACAAAATAGACAGTTCACTAAACACCTTTCCTCAAAGTTCCTATCTTATACTGTAGTTCTCAGTCAGGGGTGCAGGTGGGTTTCTTCCCTGCCGAGGCTGAGAAGGAAGGACCCCTTTCCAGGTACTTAACCCAATGTAGGTACTTTTTTCTAATTTGTACAATGACACTGTTGGAGCCAGTAGTGGCCTTGTCTGATGCCACCTCTGTACAGAGGCAACCACTGTCATCAGATTTTTATTTGTTTGTTTATTTATTTATTTATTTTTGACACAGAGTCTCACTCTGTCGCCTACACTAGAGTGCAATGGTGCAATCTCAGCTCACTGCAGCCTCCGCCTCCCAGGTTTAAGTGACTCTCCTGCCTCAGCCTCCCAAGTAGGTGGGATTACAGGCATGCGCCATCACGCCTGGCTAATTTTTATATTTTTAGTAGAGACAGAGTTTCCCCATGTTGGCCAGGCTGATCTTGAACTCCTCGCCTCAGGTGATCCGCCTACCGCAGCCTCCCAAAGTGCTGGGATTACAGGTGTGAGCCACTTCACCTGGCCTTCCCTTAATCTTTATCAATTTTACTTAACATGCTTTTCAGTAAAGCAAAACCATTAAGAGTATATACTACCAGGCCATAGATTGGTGATGTTGTCAGTTCTGGAAATTTTGTAGCTGTTTCTTGTCTTCTGTAACTCTTCTCCCACAATCTCCATGTCTCTAAGTTCACCTCTTTGTCTCTGAGATGCATTCTGGACGATTTCTTCACAGGTGTCTTCTAGCCCACAAATTTCTCTTCAGCAGAGTGTAATCTTTTAACTCATCCACTGTGTTACTGTTTTTCAGTTATGATATTTTAGCTTTTAATTCTCTTGGTTATTTTCCTAGAATTTTGCTCTTTGCCTACATTTTTAATCTTTTTTTATTTCTTTAAACAATAATCATCGCTTCTTTGTGAGTTTGATTGTTCTGATGTGTTAAGTTCTTGGGAATCTTATTGGGAATCTTACTCTGTTCTTCCTGCTGGCTCCCATTGTGCCTCATTTTCTTGTGTATTTTCTAAGTTTGACTCTAAGCTCAAGTCTTGAGTTCTTGATAGAGTTGGTTTCTTTAGAGAGGTTTGTTTTTGCTTCTTTCAAGTCCCCAAGGGCAGTGTCAGTTTGAAACGACTTTAGATTCCTGTCTTGAAGTTTTTGGATTATACAAACTTTTAAAATTTTATTTATTTATTTATTTATTTTTTGAGATG